GAGACCACCCGCACCGCAGCCTTTCATGCCTGCCAATGGCCAATTTTGTTTCATTACAACAAATTAAATATCAGAACACGAGGAAAAACAAAAAGATAGATTTCTTTCTTACCATTCCGTAGTACCACGAAAACAAAAACTTAAAAAGTATTTTAAAAAAAAAAGAAGCCTTATCCTTTTGATTCCTTATTCCCACCTAATCTGTCCCGCTCTCTATATATAACAGATGCTTTGCAGATTTTAAGCTCAAATGTATGGAGAGTCAGGATTTATCGCCAACAGACATGGACACATCCCGACCGTCGCTAGGGTTCCCTCTCGGCACCGCCCTCCTCTTGATCGTCATCTTCACCATAAGCGGCATCTGCTCCTGCTGCTACCACTGGGAAAAGCTCCGATCACTTCGCCGATCGTTTCAGCCTCCTCTTCACGACTCATCCTCCCCACATAAATCTCAACTCCCCTCCATGGTAGCCCTCCTCCTCCTCTTCATCATTAAACCCATCACTAGCTATATAAATACGCAGAACTCATGAATTTACTTATCACTGATATATGTGTGTATATTTGTATCTGTGATAGGATTTGAAGCAAAACAGAGGGCAAAGCTTGCCAGTACTGATGCCAGGCGACGAAGTACCCAAGTTCATAGCCATGCCATGTCCCTGTGAGCCTGCCAGGATCTCTGTGACGGTGGGAGAAACCCCCACTACTCACTGCGCCTCTGCCTTAGAAACCAGATTCCCCATTTTGTTTGTCTGTAAATACATATATAAGTAGTCAGTGTATAATTACTTTTACCAGTTTAATTTTATTGTTATATTGCGCAACTCATTAGCAGTTCCCGGAGGGAAAATACGTCTTATTTGGTGCTTCTTTGCTTTCGGCTGAAGAAAAGCGGCTGCTTGATTTTTATTCTGTATGTCGAATTCTTTCTATGGCATTGTGTGTGCTACAAGATAACTACATTGCTCCAACCCCCCCTGAGAATAATGGTTTATCATTTTTTTTTAAAAGAAATGTTTCCGATATGCATACTTTGGACAGAGCTTTGGTCTTAAAATATGCTTTTTCATTATTATATCTTTAACTTATTGCATGTCGATCTCTTGTGAAGTGCTATATATATTTGGTAGGGTCGTGTATGAAGAAAAATATCATTCATAAACTTACTTAAGTGGTCCGGCAAGTTTCTCTTAGGTTAAAAAACAATTATAAAGGCATTTATACAAACTGGTCCTCACATCACTTATTCCAAAAGAATAAAGGTACTTAGCTATCCTAAGTTCCTAACCCTTGTCCTCCGTGAGATCGCATCGCACGCCGACCTGATCTTATTAAGCTGAATTTGGATCCCATCCAAAGATGGATAACCACATCGATACCTAGTCGCAGAACAAGAATATGAGTTAGCATGTTCTGGTAAAGAAGATGTCAACGATGGCATCAATTCCAGGGCCTATATGAACCAACCACGTTAGTTACTCACAGATACCTTTGTTAAAAATCATCACTCACCTCAGGGACTACAAATTATATCTTCAGAAAAGATCAAAAATTGACATGATTTTCGTTGGTTCCAAATTATCACAAATCGGCTGACGTGTTCAGGTGGGATTTGGAGCTTTTTGGCTGGGGAAGTCTGCTGAGGAGCTTTCGAGATATTCGAAGGGGGAAGAAGGTGGGAAAAGAAATGATGATCCATGGAGAATAAGTGAATAATGTTGTGGGGTTTGGGACCCCAAAAGTGGACCCTCATGACCTAATTTTTCTGACCTAATAAAAATTAGAGGGCTTGAAGATCGGGCACACACATATATAGGGTTAAGGTGCGTTCAGCACTCCGAACTATTTACTCAGGTGCGTCCAGTGGCCTAAAGTAATTTTGGATGCATCCAATGTCCTAAACTAATTAAAATGGTGCGTCCATATCCCAGGTTAACAGAAATGTTATGTTTAACCGTTACTTTCCTGACTCAGCTTAAAGTTGACCCCAGATATTCTACATGGCAGACACATAGGCACCCGATGTGTATTATTCTTATTCAAAAGTCAATTTATTTAGAAGAAGAGGAAGGAAATAAATTCAATTTTGAGTAAGAATAATACACATCAAATGTCCATATGTCTGCCATTTAGAATATTTGGGGTCAACTTTAAGTTGAGTCAGGAAAGTAACAGTTAAACATAACATTTCTGTTAGTCTGGGATATGGACGCACCATTTTAATTAATTTAGGACACTGGATGCACTCAAAATTACTTTAAGCCACTGGACGCACCTGAGTAAATAGTTTGGGGTGTTGGGTGCACCTTAACCCCACACATATATATATATATATTTATATAGTACCAGAAATATGTACCTTTCCGTGATAAATGGCAGTAGTACATGTTCACTTTATTAGTATCCCACTCTCATTATCAATAGTTTGATTTTGACAACTAGGGTTAATTTCCAGACATGGTGTCCCCATCCTCCACCACTGCCACCACCATCACCTGCTCCCCCCTCTTTACTAATTTTCCTGGAACCAACTATCACAGCCTAATGACCTAATGCTTTCCTTTTCAGTCAATCAAATTCAAATTTCAGCTCTTTAATATTATCAAATGAGATGATCAGCCAATTCCTTCTTGTGTTTCATTTGCCAGATTTCAATAAGTTATTCTGCCAATTCTTTTAGCTTGCGTTTCTCTTCCCCTTTCAAACCTATATACAGCTTCATACAAATTTTATTTTTTAACATTAATTTATATTCATTTAATCTCAATAATAACCCAATGAAAAGTTGAATGCATACATGGTACTCCAAAAGCACCCGTACAAGAGCTGCTAACAGGCTAACGTTTCTTGGTGATCTTAATTTGTACAATCAACATGTATAATAAATTTTAATTTACAACAAATCATAAAGTTACTTAAAAGATATAAACAACTAAATAAGCACATCTAATTAATTTCTTTTCTAAGGCTTTTGGTGCAGGCAGTGCTGATAAATGCAAGGAGGGAATCCGGGAATGTTTCAAATTATTAAGTATGAAATGCCAATGTATTCCACTTGTGTATTTTCAAGTACTAATAATTATATATGCAGTGACCTAATTTCTGGAAGAGACGAAGCCGCGGCGGCCAATTCAACATGAAAGGAGCCACTGCAATATTAAATTCAGTGTGTGTGTGTGTGGTGGCCTTCGAAGTTGCTTTATATGGATTATATATATTGACCAAGAAATTATATGATATACTCGTATATTAATGTGGAACCGTGGTACTTTGCCCGTGGGCCAATTTTAATTAGTTTAATCAGTAAACGACAAGAAAGTAATCAAGATCTTGATTTGTTTAACTAGCAAACGAGGAGAGGGTAATTCATGTCCTTTTGACTATTGCGTTATTCGATATCAAAACGACAGATTAAGAATCTTAGGAGACCGTAAAATCGAGAACACCCGTCAAATCCTAATTATTTCTCGGATTAATTAAATAAATGGTTGTCCGATGATGAGGATCACATAGGGGTACTAGAATACAGGAGTAGTCAATAATATATTATTCGTTTACATGAAGCCTGATTGTACAAAAGACAAGTGGTAATTTAATTTATGAAGGACATTGATGTGATGGGGGGGGGGATGGGGGATGAGGAGGTAGATAAAATAATAATGAAAATGAGAAGAAGATCATCAAATAATTGAGCTGATCTAACTCTTTTGTTTGGACTCACCAAGGAGTATGATTCATCTTTTGTGGAGTGGGGTATGTGAAGCACAAGAAGACAACTATTCATTTCTTATATATATTCTGGAATAATAAACAATAGTTAGGTACAAACATGAACAAGTCTATGTATACACAGTGTATTGCTAATTTTAGTTTTAATGTTTTCCTGCTTCTTCTTTTGCCTTAATTATATCCGATCCTATTATTTCGTCCTCCTGTCTATTCAGATTGGAATTGTGGGTACGCGTGTGTGTGTTGATATAATTATAAAGGAAGTGGCGTGTGGATACGTTGAACATCTAACAAGCACTTAATCCATCAAAATCCTTAAACTGAATTCAATTGGATTTGCTAAAAAGGAAAAGAGGGTGACGGCGAATCGACAGAAGGGGGGGGAAAAACAAAAACTTTATTTGAGTCAAATTTGGTGTGTGTCCTTTAAAAAATTAGTCGTCAAATTTTGAATTCAGCATGTGGACTTTATTTCATTTGTGTTGTATAGAGTTTCATTTAAATGAAATCACGAGCTGTTACGCCGGCGAGCTCCAAGGCACATCCAATCCAATCCAACATAGAATATAAAAAACTTCAGTGTGGAGTGGGTACTAACAAAAATACAATTAGGGGGTGTTTGGATAACCTCAAACCATGGTTTGGAGAATAGCTTCTGGAGAATAGATTCTGGAGAGAATAGATTTTGAAAGAATAGCTTTTCTGAAAAAGTGATTTTGATAAAGTGAGAGTGTTTGGATAGTTATTGTCAGAAGTGCTTTTTATATGTAAAAATTACTAAAAAGGACATAAGTTTAAATGATAATTACATATAAGATATATTTCATAATATATGTTTATTTGAAGTAAATAAAAAATATTAAGAAAAAAAGTAATACGTATATATATTAGTAAAATAAATAAATAATTTTTTTGCAAAATAATTTAATAAAATAATTAAATATGTATATATATTAATAAATTATATATATTAATAAAATAATTAAAATTAAAACGTATATATATATATTAATGAAATAATTAAATATGTTTTTCGTAAAATAATTTATTTTGCCAACAAAGAAATATGATTATTTCTTAAAGATTTTAAAGATGAAGAAATCCCATAATTTTTTTTTGACAGAATTAAAGAACCACACAAAAAAATTTCATATCAATTGTCTTCATAATAGAAGTTGCAACAAAATATATTTGTCCAAGTACTTTTTTTTTGTAACAACACATTATATTATCTGAAAAGAAAAGAGGAAATAAAAAGGACATGACTATTCTCGTATATAGTGAGCAATTTGATCTCTAATTGAGTCACGAAGTCGAGCCATGTGAGATGAAGATTCTATTGATGAAGGTATATGTGAAGATCCAAGTCCATCATCATCATTATTTTCTTCTGCATAAGAACCTTCTTGTTCAAACTGAATGAAACCAGGATCAGAAATGGATATTGATCTAATGAAGTTATGTATGGCCATTGTTGCACAAACAATTTGAACCTGTGTTGGAAAGTCATAGCTCGGCATGTTTCCTAAAATTGCAAACTTACTCTTCCAAACTCCGAAAGTTCTTTCAATAGTGCTCCGTAGACTTGAGTGCAAATAATTGAACGCCTCATTGTCATTTTCAATTGCAGATGACCTTCGAAAATCAGGGAGATGGTAGCGTTCACGTCTATAGGGACCAAGATATCCCATGGGTGTCGGATAGCCAGCATCGACCAAATAATATTTGCCTACATGAAATATATGATTGGTGTTAATAAACTTTGTCTTCTAACAGTTAAACATAAATAAATTGTAGCAATTTAAAATATACCTTGAGGCGGATGGGGAAAATTCATGGAAGGAGTTGTGAGGGCGTGGTCAAATATACGAGCATCATGCGCACTACCTTCCCATCCGGCCAATACAAAAGTGAAGCACATGTCCCAATCACAAACCGCCATTACATTTTGCGTCACTTTTCCTTTTCGGTTAATAAATTTTGTTTGCTCAGTTGCATCAACAATGCATGAAATATGTGTTCCATCAATTGCTCCAATAGCATGCTTGAAAAAGGGCCAGTATCGACCACCGGGCCGTATTTTTGTATGCAAATGTTGAAATGTTGGATCTTTTGGTTTGATATTGGACATAGCAAGTCTACAGCATGCCAATAAGACATTATGGAAATGTCTACTAATTGTCTCCCCGAATGCTGAAATCTTTCTTGCTGCATCCTACTACTAAGCGCATGGCCAACGGTATTTAAAAACATTGCAACCATTTCATGTATCCCAACATTTCTAGTTTCCGTAAGACCGTGTTGCTGCAATTCTGTGCAAAGACTAAAAAACACTTCCCTTTCCATCCTAAACATGTTATAACAACGGGTGGAATGGCCTTGTAAAACGTCCCTTACCCATGCCTTGCCTGTATAAATACTTGTGTGCTGGGGCTCTTTACACAAATGAAGAGAAGCGTATCCACCAACTGCTACTGCAACTTGATTAATCCGTTTGTTCCGTCGTTTACGATACTTTTCCGCAATTTTAATTTCATCAGCCATTTTTTGTCTTGTCCTGTGCACATAGATATAAAATTCAGAAATCCTCATATGAAATTAGTAAACATTTAACAAGGAAATAAGTTGTCTAATTCCTAAAGAAGTTTAGCAGTCACATAATACAATAGTGCTGGTTACATCATTCCTAAAAACATATGCAAATTATCACAGTCATCTCCTGAATAACACAAAAAGTAGTCAAATACTATGATAAGCAACACAAATGAAGTCTCAATATTTTGTTGCGTGCTTCAAGAAGATCAGGAGTCTTTCCCTCTTGTTCTTCAGAGTCACATACATCTCCCTTGCAGCTTGCTCCCTCATAAGGAGTGTTGTGCACCGGCCAAACAAATCAGGATCATCAACAACTTCATCAACTTCGTTAAGGTGCTCCATGACTCCCGCAATTGACGTCTCATAAGCACGCGCTTCTTCTTCTATCTTCCTAGCACGTGCTTCTGAAATCTCTTCATATTCACGCTGAGAATCATTTTCATTTGCCTGAGCTATCCTGCTTAATGCATCTGCTATTTTCATAGTGGCAGTGTTCTTCTTCTTCATGGATTCACCCTTTTTTTTAACCCCTAATGAGCTACTAGGTCGACTGCCACCTGTGCTTCTACCCCCACGACTGTTTTCCCGTCTCATCCCAGTGTTGCCTCCACTTCCTCCACTATTGTCATTGAATGTGACCGAATTAAACTCTCCGCTTATCCCAGTTGGTGCCCCCAATATTTCATCACTATCTCCAGACCCTTCTTCCATATCATCTTCAGGAACTCCTTCACTTGGAAGTGTCATGGAAGAAGGTGCCCATGACTGGGGTCCAGTTGCAGCTACAGACCCAAAGAGTTGAGTCAATTCAGCCCGAAACTGAAGCCCTCTTTCTCTAAATTTCTCGTAGCCAGGAACTTCCTGCGCATTCAACACCAAAATATAATACATTATACAAAAAACGTTAACATGTGAGAAAATACAAGCTCAAATAAAGTTAAACCATTACCACTATTTTCTTCTCCCACCAATCATCAGGGGCACTAACAGTATTCCTTTCGGCATCCCATCCCAAACCTGTCTCACGGAGCAGCCTATCCCATAACTGCCACTCCTTTCGCAGGGTATCATATTTGTTTTTCAATTGGATTCTCGTATAGGCTCTCCCAGTCTTTGCAGTGAAGCTGTCCACAACACTTGTCCAACCAGTTTTGTCAAGCTAGTTCCTTTTCTTCCCCCTTTTTCAACTTCTTCAATGCACAGGTCAATAAAAACCTTTGTGGTTCTTATATCCCATGAAGCTTTGCCAGTTTGTTTACTCATTATACTATAGACCAATTATAATACTTCAGTCATCACAAGGTCAACCCAAAAAGCATGCCATTCAATCCAGGAGATATAATATAATAGGTATAGTATTTAACAAGTATAGCCGCATGTTCTTTTCCCATTCACAAACAAAAACACAGAAGCATAACTTAAATTATGAAGTAAAGAGACTGGCCAAGAATTTTGGTATACCGCTACTTCTACTTCCTCAATACTAATTTCTTTCAAGCAAACCTATAATATCTCAAGAGTGGCATTAATTACTTTCGGAATAGAAATGGCGTTTCATATTTAGCTACATTATTTTCTAACAGAGAGGGGAACCAAAATATATGACCATAAAAATAATCCTCATGTTCTCATTTCAAAAATATCATTATAAAAGGTAAATAGACAATTTCAAGGTTGAGTTTTGATCATCATAATTGACATGTTAACACTAGAGATGTACTGATCATTTCCTACTTGAAAAATAATAACAAATTAGATAACACTAGTGTTTGTTTTGTGTAATCGATCACTCTCTTTTCCTTTGGGCTTGTTCATTATTGCAGAAAAACGAGGCCCAAGATGACTCTTCCCATATTCTTGATGACATTGGTGCTTGGTTTCCTTGAGTGATATTGGACATACTGCACCCCTACTTCTTTCTAATTAACTTTGTTTTTTGTCAGATTTCTCTTCAAATACATGCATGCTTGCCCACACACTCTCTCGGCTTGTGGCTCCAACTTTTGATTGACACCCTAATGATGCTCCCTACATGATTCATTCCTCGGTTTTATTTTTTAATTAATAAGGAGAATATATTCTGATTAATTAATCCATCACATGCATACTCTAGATGAAATTTATCATCACTTTGGTACGTATAACATGCATACTCTAAACGAAATAAGTGATTTTTAGGATCATTGAAGCATGTTTGGCCCGTACAGAAATGGATCAAAGAAAAACCTTGCGAATGGTGAGGTTTTCCTCAAGAATTACAATTTGTACCTTCTGAATATGCTTTACCCAAACCAAATCCAAGTTCTGCCGCCACCGAACTTGAATATACAATGGATCAGACGAAGATACAATGGGGTTTTTAAAACTATAGACTTGTAAAGTTAGAAACTTGAATATCCAATACAGGGGATCCGATTCTGCTCTCACATACCCACGCAAGCAAAGATGGATTCAGAGGGCAATATTGATGACTTCTATCGGTGTTATTCGCGAGTGAAGAAAGAAACAAAGAAAGAAAAATTTCATTTTAGATCGGGCTCAACTTAAACATCAACATTGTTTCTGGTTTCTCAATAACATCATTTTCTGTCATAGCTGATCGGTGTCAAGCAAGCAACCAACAAAATCAGTAGCTATAAGTGAACATCGCAGGCAACCGATGAAACCACCATCTGTGTCGGAAAAAAAAAAACGACGCTGGACGGACCTCTGTTTTGGGAAAAAAAACGACGCTAGACGGAATTTCATAATGCACCACATCTTCAGCCACCTCCAACAAGGAAGAAGACAGCTCACCTGAAACGTTGGATCTGACTGACGGAAGAAGACACGGCGACCAGAGCAATCGATGACCCGACGAACAGAACACCGGAGATAGCAAAAATCTGTGAATGGATCTTCTGTTGGCAAGCCTCACCAGCACTGAAAATCATGGCTCAACGACCTCATCGGTGGCAAGAAGACCCGTCGAGCTTCAGAAGGGGCGACGGCGGGAGTGATGGAACCGAACACAGCGACTTGAGATGGACTGACTGGCGACGATACCGGATCTTCTCCAAGGCCGAGAAACACCTCGCCAGCACTAAAATTCCTCAGCGGTTCACGATCTCACCGGTGGGATGAAGAGGCGACGGCACAGGAGAACCGAATTCTTCAGGGCGACGGCATAGGAGAAGGGGCGACGGAATGGGAGAGAAGATCAGAGAAACCGGAGGCTCGCCGAGTGGAAGCTACTGAGGGACCAATAATTGGAAGCTACTGAGGGACCAATAATTACTCCAACGACTATTTTGACTCCTCAGAAGATATCTTAACCGCGGGTGGCGTGCAGCTTCAATCAAAACCAAGGTTTCCAGCTCAAAACCATGGTTTTGCTGGAAACCATGGTTTTTAAAATTTTAAGGGTGTTTGGCAAATTTTTTGCCAAACCATGGTTTGGCATAAAACCCAAACACCCCCTTAAAATCAATATATACACATATAACGTACGAAAACAAAATTCTTCTGTCACTGTTCGATTTTTATTTAACTGAAATAATATATTTTAATTGCAAAAATTTATGTATTTTCAGATATATATCCATTCAAAAATTTTGTGTGACCCATGATATTTATTAACTATTAGAATATTTATTTGGATGGCGGGCTGTCCTTATAGTAGTATTATATACTACACTCAGTATTTAATATAAGAACTAATTAATTAATTTGAGTGGGTTAAATGAGTTTTTTAAGTTAGTTATTTATAATAATTAGGCGTCATTTTTTTAAAAATATCTTTGCTAATCATTTATATTAGTTAGAATTATCATTTGATAAAATCTTTAATATCTTTAACATGTGCAACAAGCACAATGACTTTTTTGAAAAATTAAATAAATATAAAAGATAAATTGAATTAAAATTTTATATTTATAATTAAATTAAATGTCAAACTAATTTTTATATTAGGAATTTGGAAATAGTAACTGAGACTTGGGATTGCTAAAAGAAAAGGGCGTATATCTGTATTGAACTGGACCCCAAAAAAAAAAAAAGGACTTGAGAGTTGAGACCAGAATAAAAGTGGACTCAATGAGTCATTGTCAATTGACACCTGGCACCACTTGGGCCAATTGGACTTTAATTGTCCGGATGGCCCAATTCATAAACTTGAGAGATAAATAAATTCTAATGCAAAATGTGAAAATGGCTTATATGAATGAAGTCATTAAAATCAGTTAATAGTTATTTTTTTTACCACAATATCTCAGAATTATCCTTAATTAAAGTAATTAAATGGTATGTGAGTCTTCCTTTTCCTCGCATATAAACTTTAAATATAAAATATTATGTTTATCAATAAAGAATTCATAAATGCCTCAAACATTTTACAATATGGCTTATATGAAGTACCGGGAAAAACTTTTAATCTTATAATCAGATATGGAGGGAGCAAAAAATGACATTATTTATTAATTATGAATAATGTGACTTGTTACTCATATTCTATATATATATCCCGTGTTAATATAAGAGCTATATAATTAATTTAAGAATATTAAGAAAATTAATTAAATTATATTTGTTACAAGCGTGTGCTGGTTTCTTTAGACTACCCTCCATAATGTGTATTAGAATTATTCCTTAGTGAAAATATTTTATAATTTGAAGGAATATTTTGGGGAAAAATAAGAGACATAGTTAATTAGTACTCCTCCGGTCTTTAATATAGAACTCAATTGTTGAGTTGGTTTTGGTCCTAAATATAAGACTTATTTCTCATATTTATCAATTTTTTCTAAAGTACCCATGTGGATACTCCCTCAACTATAATCAAGTAGAAGAAGAAGAGGAAGTATTAAGAAAGATGATTATGAGATTTTAGGAAAAACGTATCACATTTCTTATACTCCTCCGGTCCTTAATATAGGACCCATTTAACTAATTTGATTAGATTAAGGAAGTCAGGTAAGTTAGTTAATTATAAAAATTGTGATATGTTTTTCCTAAAATACCATAATCATCTTTCTTAATACCCCTCTCTATCTTCTACTTGATTATGGTTGATGGAGTATCCACAGGGATAATTTAGAGAAAATTGATAAATATGATAAATGGGTCTTATATTTAAGACCAAAACCAACTCAACAATTAGGTCCTATATTAAGGACCGGAGGAGTACTTAACTAATTTACCTGACTTCCTAAATCTAATCAAATTAGTTAAATAGGTTTTATATTAAGGACCGGAGGAGTATCTTATATTTAGAATTAAATCCAACCCTCTACTGGTTTTTACATTAAAAACCAAATCTAATCCATGAAATATGATAATGGAACGCTGGACCAGAGGACGAACAAAATAGGGGATCCGGGGATAAATAATAATGCAGCTTAGATATACTGTCAGTTCTAATTATAAGACATTATTTGTAAACTACAAATAAGATTTTATACTTTGGAGCAGAAGCAGTATTTCTTAGCAACACCCATAGCCTCTACTCTTCATTTCTCAACACTGAGCCCTTTCATGTTTTTGTTTATTTAGGTACCAATTTCTGAGTTTCGCCCTTGAAATTTCCAACCAAACTAATCCGCCGCCCCTAGTTACAGTTTTGGCACAGATAAGAATGTTTTTCGTTTTTAATCAAACTAAGTTCATCTTTAAACATCATATACAAGTTGAAATCAGAATTTATCCCGTCGTATCATTCCCCCCCCCCCCCCCCCCCAAAAACCAAAGTCTGAACTCTGAAGAGAAAGCAACGGTCTTTTGTACAACGAAACCTATCTCTTTCGGTGCCTGAATCCCTCACACAGCATGGACGCAGTTGAGGGTTTCAATAGCCAAGTTTCATCTTAATGAAAGATTATCACAGCTTCTCACACATTTCTTCATTCACTTAATAATAATTCGTGAATGATTGACAGTTGAAGGCAATCATGTTGGTAGAGTTGGAGTTAGGAGTAAGAGAAATGGAGATAATGAGCCAAAAGCTCGCTTTGATGTTTGAATTTACAGATGCATTCCATTCATATCTCAGGGAAACACTTTATGCAGAGACTTATTTTTGTTGAACCTAACTTCCATGGTGAAGGAAAATGAATCTAACCCATGAGGCTAAAATCAGATTGTGCTGTCTTAAGTTTTAACTGCTTCAAGGCAATCCAGATCCAAAATGAAGCGATCAACTTAACTTTATTCTGCAGAAAGATTATATTGGAACTTCTACTTCCCTAATTCGTTGAATCCAAAACTTAGAAGAAACAGACTAAAAGGGAGAAAAAAATTGCTTCTTTTACACAATTTGCAAATTGTTACAGCTAATTCTTAGCTTCTTTCTACAGGCATCTCCCACCGTAACCTGCATTTCTGAACAGTGCTTCCTTAATCTCTTCAGAGCCAATACAAGTTCTCTGCTCAGCCACCTGACATCATGAGAAGACCATGTTGTGAGTACAAGATTCATCCAATTTCAACATTGTATTAGTATATGAAGATTAAGCATGAACCAACCTCTGAGCAAGATGCTTGCATTGTGAAATCGTTGAAGCCACTTATCACACATTGTTGAATCTCAAGACCTAACGCTTCCAAGGTATTCACTGTAGAGAGTAGTAATCCAGGCTTTGTGGCACAGCAGATATTTATCCTCGTGTCCTGGTCTCTCCGCTCAACCTCAAACTGCGAAAACATTAAGGTACAAATATGTTAATTCAGGAACTGGGTATCATTATAATCCATTAATCTTAGGGGTATATACCTTAGGGGAATTTCTCACCGTTACTTCATTTGGCTTCGCCTCCTTGGAAATGCCCATGAAGTTCAACTGATTATTTTCACCCTCCTTCTCCATTTCTTCCTGCAACTTGCTTATCTTTTCCAGAAGCTCCTTCATGTAATCTATGGTGTCTCCAAGAATAGATGTCCTGTCCATCTGGCAATGTTCATATTCCCAAGTCAGTCCAAAAGATTTGACAGTAAATCAAGCTTTAAGATTACGGGTTTAAAAGAGATAGGTTTTGGGAGTCACCTTGCTGATCTTGGGGACGATTGATCTTAGCATGGACAAGCGATCATTGAGGCGCTTTCTTCTTCTTCTTTCTGCCATGAGATTCTTGGAAGGCTGCCCTTCTAGCCTCTTCAATTTGGGCTTCTTCTCCCCACAACACACACCCATGCTGATAACTGGAGCTTCCATGACCTGTTCTTCGATTTTGCAGCAATTACTGGCATTATTGTTGGTATTTCCTTCCTCAGAACTGTGATTCTCAAAACCCAGAAAGGCAAGCTCTTCATCTTCATGAGCTTGAAGTGGTGGTGCAGAGTCAACAGTGTTCCCTGTGAAGCCATCAAGAAATGGGTAGGAATTATATTCAAGTCTGGGGTCTATAAATGGAGCTGGTAGTGCAGAAAATGGAGGATTGAAGGTAGATAAAGCTGAAAGGTTGTCATCGAAAGAGTCAAAACTCCAAGAGGTAGAAGAGAAGAGTTCATTCAAGCCAGAGGACATAGTATTCCATGGGTCTCCTCTTCTTGAAGCGAGTAACTCTTCCAGAAAACCAACTTGTGTAAGCTCCATTTCTCTCTGGGTTCCCCTCGCAGGTCACCCATCAAACAGGGGAGGCTTTAATAGAAGGGGGATATCACCCTTCTTTTTTTTATTAAGGAAAAGGAAAACTAAATTCAAATATTTTATTTTTTTTAGTTTTATTTACTTTATCATTACATACTTTTGTGACTGTCAAATAAAGTATTTTATAAATCTGGATAACGCATTTTTAACAAAAAAATGGGTATTTATGGAATGTAATATCTCGATGATCAGGAGTCATCTGACACTTCATTAGGTTTCCCAAATTTTTATTTTATAATAGATTATTTAATGCGCTTTTATTCTTTATAGATGTCTAGTTAAAATGGAATGCTAGCTTCAGCGCAGCCATGTGAGAACTAAAAAGTATTGTTTATACGCCTATGAGAGTTTATCCATTTAGTAAAAAGTTAATTCATATTGATGCTTCCGATCTCGTTAAAAATTAGTTTTAAATTCAAAATAATTTAAAGATATTGTGAGATATACAACCCAAAAAAAAAAATCGACTTATAATTTATAAGGTCGTGAGTTCAAATTTTATTACTAACATAAAAACTTAAAAAATGCATGTCTTAATCAGATCTGATATCTAACTCATTTAAATTTTTTTAATAAAAATATTGTTTAAAGTGAAGAACAATATAATTTTTCCATGATTTATAGTATACATTTTTTTTTTCGTGTTTCATGCAAAATATATCAACTAGATCTAGTTAATTATGATGGGTGAACAGTAATAAATAACTTTTTGAATATTTAAATCACATGGAAACGGTGAATCATGGAATGTGAATTTGACAGCAAAATAAGTGCTCCTTTGGATTAGCGATGAACAACTATGATTTTAGATAATCATGAATTTTATAAGTGACACTGACTATAAGTGACACTGATTAATCATGATTTCTGTTTGGATTTTTTTTATAAGTGATTTTAAAAATTGTGATTATGTTTGGTTTTCATTTATTAAAATCACTTATGGGTGTATAATTACTAAAAAGGACATGAAGTTAATAAAGTTGTTTACATTTTCATAATTATTATATTTAATAATAAATTATAATTTAATAAATGACATGAATATTTAAATATTATTTTTATTTTAAAATCATTATTATTTAAAATCACTTACAAAATTTATGTGCAGTACAAATATTAAATAAAAGACCCCATATAAATAAGAGATGAATGAAAATATTTAAAAAAATTTGATTAGCAATTTTAGTAACATAAATAAGGAAATTGAATGTTCAATCAAAATTATAACTAAGAAATTTAACGATGCTCCTCGAATGAGAATATTACCTGAATATTTGATTCCGTTGTTTCAATCATATGTCATCCGTTATCTAATTTTTTTAAAAATGTCTTTTAGATAAAATTAAAAGAAAAACAGTTTCATATTGTATGTTTTTTTTAAAATTAAAATAATTACCATTAGAATGAGAGGTAGATTGGAGAAAATTTAGTTACTGAAAATTCATCAGGATTTTTCAAACGTATAAGCTACTTCTTGTTGCTTATCCTAAAAGTGCGACGGAAGGTTAAAATCACAATTCATCAGGATTTTATAAAAATTATCCAAACACTCTAAACATACTTCATAAGTACTTATTTAAATTTAAACGGGTTTATTTGAGATCCTACCACTTAACCAAACAGGCTCTAGGTTTCATCGACATACTATTATGATTGTAAGTCTGATTGATCGATTTACTATAGTTATAAATACAAAATTCAAATCTTCTTCCGTTTTCTTACTTAATATATTTTATAAATTACTCTCATCAATTGCATAATTTTTGTTACTTTCATTAGCAAACAAATTTAATTCAAAAATAATTAATTGATTAAATAGGTTTTAATTTTACGATGAAGAGTGCACATAAAAAATTGATTTTACTATTGACTATTGAATAAATGAAGGGGGTAACATTAACAAAAAGTAGGTGGGGGAAGGAAAAAGGTTTAAAATAATAGTAATAGAAGAAGACAATGATAGGGTGCATTATTCTATAGAGATGATGAAAAAGGCATAAATGATGAGAGGATATATAAATATACAGTAAAAAGTTGGAGAGGAATAGGGCCTCGAGATAGACCTGCCATTCAAAATGGCATCTGCTTTTTGTTGCCTTGGTCTTCTGTCTTATCTCCTCTCACTCCTAGCCTCCCTCTTCATCATTAATCCCCTTTTCACCTCAAGTCTAAAATAATCACGCCCAAGTGCTCGATCGTAAACATGAAACGGAAAGTATGATAACTGATTTGGCAAAATTTGTATATATTACGTGCTCATACAAACACATAAATTGTTATGAGCTTTATATTCGATACGGATATATTAATTACCTAAAAAATGACTTATACTTCATCCCGTTCTTATTATAAGTTTTAAATAACCAATTTACAAATAGCGAATAATTAGTTGAAGATAATAAACAGATTAGAAATATATTTTTGTTTTAAATATCCAAAGGATAAAAACGAATGGGGGGGGGAATAAGATAAGAGAGGAACAATTAAAGACAATAATAGAAAAATACATTAAATGTTAAAACAAACTCAAATTAAAGCTTATAAAATGGATCATATTTTTTTTTTTGTAAATTTGAAAGTTATAAATAGGACTGGAGGGAATATTTAGAAACAAACATTTCTCTTATAAGTGAATCATATGTAGAAACGGAGTGGTACTTTTATGGTTCTATTTAGGGTATGTTTGGATTGGCGTTGGACAAAACTGACTTATAATCTAACTGACTTTTGTAACTAAAGTTAGAGTAAAAGTCAGTTAGTGTAATATGATTTATGTTTGGATAAGTGTTTATAAAAAGTCAGTTGAAAAAGTCAAAAGTTGTTTGGATGATTAATAGAAAAGTTAGTTTGGTTGTAAATGACTGAAAATGGCATAGACTTTATAGAATAATAGTATTTGAAATTATATGTTTTTAATGTAATAATAGTTTAAAAAATACATAAAATTATTATGGTAAAATATAAATAGTTTATTTGTGAGATTATAAAATAAAAATATTTGTTACAGAGAAAAATTTGAAAACACATTGTAGATAATTAATTAAATATACATAATGGATAAACAAGAATATAAATTAAAATTTATTTGGTCTCTAATTAGAGTAAATGAAATCACATGACTAATTAGATTGTAAGCTTTGCACAATTTTCCCATAAGTCAGTTAGAAAAGTTGATTCAAATTGCGTTGGATAAGTCAGTTAGAAAAGTTACTTTTTCCCATAAGTTAGTTAGAAAAGAAGTCCCATCCAAACAATCTTCTAAGCCACAATAAGCCACTAACATCAGTTTCACGCTTTCTTATATGCTTTTGGCTTCTCCAACTGCAATCCAAACATAGCCTTATACGGCAGAGAGAGAAGACAATTTTAGTTCTATTTATAGGAAACTTAGAGAAATTTTTTATATGGATGTACAATCTTACCCTTCATTTATTATTGTGTTGATTTTGTTTACATGAAGTATAATGTATATTCCTTCCGGTTTAAAATATAAGCTAAACTTTGTCCATTACGTTTATCAAGAAACTAATTAAAATCAATTCAAAACAATAAATGTGTAAGGCATATATTTGTTTTTCCTAATATATCCTTATTAATGAAGAGAATAAGTAAAAGATGCAAAAAATGAATTAAAGAGGAAAAAGAATATATAGGGGCAAAATCGGAAAAACTCATTAAATGCTTGGACAAAAATAAATGTTATCTTATAAAAAAAACTCTTTAAGAAAATTTAGCTTATATTTTAAACTGGAGGAAGTATTAAATAAGAATAAAATTAAAAAGTCATAATATTTAATAAAATTAAAGGTTTTTTTTAATTTATACGAAACACGTTGAAAATTATTTATAAATAAAATGATAAAATATATCTCATGTGAATGACAAGGGTCACAGCCTTCGAAGCCTTGACCCTACGTGAGGTAACAGTATTCTTTGGTGTTAGCACCACAGTGAGGGAATTTAACCCTAATTAAATAGTGTTAATCTTGTTTTGTAAGGCATGAAGCTGGGGTGAGGGTTGATGAATGAGGTTAATTATTAATTAAAGGCATAAGTATGAGATGATAGAGGGTCCCGAGGCAGAGGTGAAGTGCGAAGTAGGAAGAGTACAGAGGAGGCGACAAGTATGCGCGAAATGACGAAGGAGGCAGTGAAATCCAAGGAGCGCCTGTGATTCGTAGCCCCTATCGGAATTTGCATCCCCTCCCCTTTTTGGAAAAATTATAATAAAATTTCATTAAAGGAATTAAATACACAAAAATTTCTCAAAATCATCAAATTATTATAAAATTTAAAAATATTTTATTGTAATAAATTTTATTTTTTTTAATTATTATTTTTTTAAGTTTATATTAACAACTAAAAGAGCAGTCATTGATAACTTAAGGTATAAGGATTAACAACTATTACGACAGGTATTAACAACACATTTTTTTAACACATCACAAAGTATGAGTTGTCAATACCTGTTGTAATAGTTATTAATCATTATACCTAAGTTGTCAATGACTACTCTTTTAGTTGTCAATACAAATTTAAAAAAAATAATTTTATAATTAAATAAATAAATTCTTTTACAATGAGGTTCTTTGAAACTTCAAAATAATTTGATGATTTTAAGAGAATTTTTTATATTTAATTCTCTTAGTTGGAACTTTGTTGCAATTTCCCGCCTCCTTTTTAAGCCCTTCCATTTGCTCTTTCTGTCCGGAGCCACCTTTTTTCATTAATTACGCTTCACTCCCTTCCACATGTTTCATTTATTGCATTTGCTGACCCTAAACAGTTAACAAATTAACCACGGCTTGCAGCAGTAGATTATATATCAAAATAGACAACTAAATTATTCTTAATTGAAACTAGCATCTTGCATCAACATCACAATACATATCTAGCAATTTAAAAAAAATCAGTTTTTTAGGTGCCGTTATTAGATCGTTTTGATAGGAATAGAAAAT